TTTTTTTTTTAGAACGATTTAATGAATTTGCGAGTCTCTACTCTTTCAATCTGTAAGATTTTTGAAATGTAATTTTGCTCTTGAGCAAGATAAATTTCAAGAAATATTATATTCAGGAAACAATCTTGGGATTTATATTTAATTTAAGATACAGAGTTTACCAAATCTGAAATGGGTTTAAAATTTACAGTTATTATCTTAATCTTTCTTGGTTTGAGTGATTTTTTAGCGGACTGACATTTCTTTTTTGAAATATGGAAAGAGATATATTATTTATTTCTTTGTATTCAGAAACTAACTAATAGTGTTTGGTGAAATAAGTAAATTGTAAGCACAAACCAAGATGCTCCTAAAAAAGTGTAGGTGGTGTTTGAAAGTATAAAGACAAGGTGGATGAGAAGAATTGAGGGTATGATGGTCTTTAAGCCCCAGGAATCATAATAACATCTTATAACACAAATACTTTTCTAATCATGGGTCAGAAACACGTTGATTAATTATACTTTTATACAAGAGAGTGTCATGATTCCTGCTAGCGGTAAAGGAGGTCACTGAAATCAATGCTTTACTTGGAAAAGAATTTATTAATTATTTTGGACTATGCTTTTCAGTTTTTTAGTTTACATGTACTGTAGCAGCACTGTAGCAGGAAGTTAGAGGATGTGAACTTATCAAGCTGCTCTTATTGTACTCCAGTTTCATTGCTTTATGTTTTGCTGAGCGTGGTTGCAGATCAGATTCCAAATATTGTAAGATAATAGGTTATGAGACCTTGAGATATTTACATTGCTGCTTGCAATATTGGCTCGGTGTTTTGAATCTATATAACTGAAGAAAATGAGAAATATTTATTTATTTATTATTTTTTTTTTCTAAGGGATGCACTCCTGTATGTTTTTGGTTGTGCCTCTCATATATATACATTGTCTGGCCTACAACCGGTGTCTACTTTATCTATATTGAAGTTGGTGGAGCTTCTTTGTTTTAATGATGTTTAGACTTGCTTGTAGTCTTTATTTTTGCACGTATGTTTTACAGATATATACATTTTGTTGATGAAATTATGCATTCAGTATTTGTTCTGCAACATGGTCGAGTTGCTTGTCCCCCTTCATTTAGTTTCCTCTTCTAGCCCTCTTTGTAAATCTTCCTATATTTTCTTCAATATAGATCAATTGGCGATTCTCATGATAATTATTAGTGGTTGGAGCTGAAGACACAGAGATGAAGAAGCTCTTTTCGTTTAGGTCAAATGCGTTTAACAGCAGAAATAGTAATCAAGTCTCACCACCATCAACAGATAAGCAAGTCTACTGGGAGAGACCAACAGAAAGTATTGACAAACCCAGAAAAGAAAAATATGGCTCGGAAAATCAGGTTACTGCTCCTGGTCTTAGAAGAAGCCTTTCATGTTCATCTGGATCCCTACAATATGAGAATTTTGGTGATCATCGTTGCTCTCCTTGCGGTATCAGTAATTCACACAAGCAATCTGGTCAACATTCCACTCGGTAAGCAATTGTAATGCTGTTGTCATGGCTTTAAAGTTGTATTTCTTTTATATAGTTTCCAGTTTTTCAAATCTGTGGCAACGTAAACACATGTTTCTTTTTGGGGTTGATTTTTACAATTGTTATTTGATTCAGTTGCCAAACTCCTGAGAGACGGTCAAATTTCTCAGAAATGGGTATGATTCGAAATGGAAAGAGAATGGGGAAATCTGATAGTTTTGCTTCAAGAGCACATTCTGAAATATCTGAGGCAACCAGTAATGTATCAAATAAAGTTCTGGATCGTTACGTAGATGGAGAACAACAGATGGATACGAGTGCTTCAAAGAGCCATTTTTCCACGAGAAATCACATTGACAATGGGAACTCTGGGAGAATGCGGCCACCAAGAGTTCAGTGTGCTGCACCTATTTCACCAAATGATGGCAGAAAACAGAAACCAAAGTCTCAATCCATCGGAGAAGAAGCAAAAGTATTTCAGCTTCAGTTATCATCTGGAGATTGGGAGGAGAATGGCTTTTGTCGTGAATCCCCTAGAAAACTTGCAAAGGATGTGGTTGAGAGACTTACCCAATCTCGATTTTTGTCTAAGATTAGGTCAAAAGAATATGACTCCCCGATTACTATGGAAGATATCTATAGCAGAACAATCAATGAAAGTTCCAGTGCGAATTCTGATGAAGTTTCTTCAAATAACTGCACACTAGACAGGCATCCTGAGACTACCGATGGATATCATCATGAAGAAACTTTAGGGTTCTCCAAGAAAGAGACTTCTTTCGGTGGTAAAGATGGGTTTGCACTAAATGTCGAGGCTGTAGATGACACAGATATAGAACTTTTTAGAAAATGCAAGGAAGCTGAGGACCATGCTGCATACGTCTCAGAAGAACTTGAACAGGAATACTTTCTTCAGGTCAGAGGGTGTAATACGCCAGTGTTGATTCAGATAATCAGAAGCCTAACAGAAGAAAAGGTAAAAATGGCAGTAGAGATTTTAGCTGTCTTACAGGATCGGATTGCTGAAAAGGCCTTATCTAGGGAAGAGTTCAAACTAGCAAGGGCAGAGTTAAGCACACAGACCCGGAGATTGGAGAAGGAAAAGCATGAGTTGCAGTTGGCACTTGAAAAGGAATTGGACAGGAGATCAATTGAGTGGTCTTACAAACTTGAAAAATACCATTCTGAAGAACATAGGCTACGAGAGAGGGTTAGGGAGCTTGCAGAGCAAAATGTTTCCCTTCAAAGGGAAGTAACTTCCTTCAGTGAAAGGGAAATGGATACTAGAACCAGAATTACAAATTCAGAGAAACAGCTTGAGAACATAACAACTCAAGTCAATGAAGCTAGAGAAGAGAAACAATACTTAGAGCAAAATCTTATTGAACTGCAAGACAAATTTAGAGCAGCAGAAGAAGATCGAGATTGCTTCCGAAGAAACTATGAGGCAAAAGCTGTTGAGTGCAAGGATATGCACAGATCCATCAGTAGACTGCAAAGGACTTGTAGAGAACAAGAGAAAACAATCGATGGATTGCGGGGGCTTTGTGAAGATCTTCAAAAGAAAGTTTCTTTAGAAAACTATGATTTTGAGTTGGCAAAGTTGCAAGGGGAACATATGAGGCTGACTGGAGTAGAGCATGCCCTGAGAAAGGAGGTGGAATCTTATGGGCTTGAAGTTGATTCACTTAGGCATGAAAACATAGATCTCCTAAATCGTCTGAAAAATGGGGGGAAAGATGGTGCAATGTCTAGTTTTAAGTTAGATCGAGAAATGCAGAATCGTATTAGCTGCTTGCTAAATCAAGTTCTTCCATCTCTTATGGAAAGCAGCCAACTTTCTAGGAAATTACTTGAATTTATTAAAGCGAATGAAAGGCACATACTGAAAAATGGACGAGGTTCTGAGACAGGTTCGGATTGCCAATTTATTCTTGAATGTGAAGTGAAGCTGCAAGGTTTTGAGCGGGCCAATGAAAACTTGACAAGGAGTTTGCTGAATGTCTCTGGTGTGCTGCATGCAAGATCTAAAAAGTTACATGAGACACTTGGCTCAATTACCCTGGAATCTCGTTCACCCAGTGTAGATGATGAATCATATCAGCTAGATGATCGGAGATCAGAGGTCAATTGATTCCTATGTATATTAATTTGTTCCACATTAAAGTTAATTTTCACTCTAGTATGTTTTGTTTTCAATACGAGTTTTTATAAATATTTGTATATCTTGCGCAGGAGATAGTCCGATCTGAGTTGAAAGCCGAGACCTTATTGACAAGTTTGTTACGTGAGAAGCTTTATTCCAAAGAGCTCGATGTGGAACAACTTCAAGCTGAGCTGGCTGCAGCAGTCAGAGGTAATGACATTCTCAAATGCGAAGTGCAAAATGCGTTGGATAATTTTTCTTGTGTAAACCACAAGATGAAAGATCTTGAACTTCAGGTAAGTCCAAAATATTATTTTTTCTTCTGCAACATGCAAAATTAGAGTCTGTTTTATGTAAATTTTGTGAGAATATATTTTGTAAAAAATAGTTTTTGGAAGAATGTGTGGTTAAAAAGTAGGGAAAAGTTACGGGTGTACGTGCAAAATTATTTTATTGGGAACATGTGTGGTTAAAGACTTGAAGATGAGATTAGGAAAAAAATGAGTTTTAAATAATCTATACCAAATAGGGATATAATCTCATCTATGAGCTTATCTTATTCTTTGCAGTGTTGTATTTGGTTTCATTTGTTGTCTGATTGAATTTTGATTCTTGATTCTCATCTTGCCTACTTAAAGATATGTTATTTGTCTGCATGCTGTAGTTTCCTCTATAGCACATCATGCTGGATGGTCAATTCTTAAAACCTTGAACGAAATTTTTTTATTACCATAATAAAGAACATATTTGAAAAAGTAATTGGGTTGACATGAATACAGACATTATAAATTTCCTCTTCTTTTGCCTTATATTGGAATGGTGAGGTTATGTCCTTGGGATCTTCAGTAGTTAAAAAAGTAATTGTGATGCCAGAGGTACAATTACATCAACTAAATTTTTTATCCAATAAACTATAGAGGTCACAAAACATTACAAGGCATCAAGACCCAAAAGGGTTGGATCTACATAGCTTTAGGGGCCATCATAAACCCGAAAGGATTGGGTCTACACAGCTTTTGAGTACCATCGAAAGGCCCAAATATATTCTACTTTAATTTGGGTCAACTAACCGAATTTCATGTTTACAGAGTGGAACTGAGACGACCTCACTTTTTCATGCGTAGGCTTAGCTAAATTTGAGGCAAAGTTCTGGAGTGGCTTACTTAAGACATACCAGGGTCAGCTGAAATAATTGAATATTGATAAAATTTTGAGTACTCTCCTAACTCTTGATATTCTTTGAAGTGAACATTATTACCATTTTCTGCGAAACTATCAGCATTGTCTTGAATTAGCAAGACTGTACGTTCCTTGCAAAGATACATTCCATGACATGTGCAGTGGAATGCTAAGCCAGATGACATAAAGTTGATTTTGTTAAAAGTTTGATCTCCATGTTTCAAAAACAATTAAAAGACAAAATACATGGGTATTGTTAAGCTGATATTATATGCTTCTGCTGACAGAAATAAGAATCATTTTGAAAGATCAGACCCAAATTCAGTTAGATTAAGAAGCGAAGTTATTTCACTAGAGAAATCATAGAATCTTGTTTCTGGAGAAACATGAAGAGATGGAATTTTGGAAAACTTTGACATTCTCTGTAAAAGTAAAAGTGAACTAGTACAGAGGGTCAAGTGAGTACATAACAACGTTACCTGCTTGGATTTATTTATTTTTCCATGTTCTGCAATTAGTCATAAATTTGATGCTATCCCTTTTGCTTTTCAAATTTCGAAAACACGGTCCTCAGTTGTCTGCTATTGGTTCCATGTTAATTTTATTCTTGTTTGCAGGCGATGAAGAAAGATGACATTATTAATCAGCTTCAGACTGATTTACAAGAATGTAAGAAAGAACTAAAAATTGCAGGGGGGGTACTACCAAAAGTATCTGAAGAGAGGGATTTAATGTGGCAGCAGATTAAGCAATATAGCGAGAAGAACATGCTACTGATTTCTGAGATCAATATGTTGAAAAAGAAGATAGAGACCCTCGATGAAGATATACTCTTGAAAGAAGGCCAAATCACTATTTTGAAAGATTCCATAGGCAAACCTTTTGATCTTCTTGCTAGTCCAGATTCTACTCGAGACTTTCTACTGGCCTGATTAATGTTTCGTGTCGAATTGGATGAATTCAAGTTGAATTGACAATGTACGTAATTTAGAGTACATTTGGTATGCAATATTGGACAATATAGAGATATAATTTTAGCTTCTTTTACAGAACAAGCCATAGCAATTATATATAGGTTTTTTCTTTGGGTTGGTTTTGTTTTCTCTAGATTGTTGAAGCTCGTCTCATAGCAAATGTGAAATAAAACAGTATCCGGATTATTTATCAACATCACAGTAATTGTAATGCCATGGGCCTTGGCAACCTTTTTTTCCATGTATTTTGCACCCGCTGGCAAATGGCCTGTATTTAACCATGAAAATATTCTAAATGGAATTAACCACGGTTTGTTCCATGTAAGCTTTCTATTTATTATTATTATTTTTAATTTCCTCTTTGCTTTTGTTCCATTTCCCCCCTTCAGAATTTTTGTTGATGATCTGTATTAGATTTATTCACCATATTCATTTCATGTAATGTAGGTAGTACATACAAATATGCAATTTCAACCTCCTCTAATTTCACCTTTGCTGTTGAGGCATAACATCTTCCATTGGTGACCTATTTTTTCTACATTCAAAAAGCTGATGCAAGCATATCTCAGCCTTTCAGTTCTCTCTATAACGATAATTAAATACAACCATGTTGTATAAAAAATTCTCCTTGGAAATATTTTAAGCAAATTTCATATTATTACATAATTAACGTTTTTCTTATTTATTTATCAATTATCATTAAAAAAAAAATGGAACACGAAGGATGACAATACTTCAGCATATTAGTTATGCACCCAATGGTGCACCACATAGAGGTGTAAAGATGGGTTGGATCGTTTAGGCTGTCTAGATGTCATAAATGAGCTTGTGCCGAGCCCCTACGTAGGTGGATGCATATAGCAAAAGAGATCATTCTCATTAAGAGAGTCATGTAAATCTGTATAAAATTTCCTTGCACAGTAGAAAAAAATACTCCACAAGTCATTTGATGCCTAAATGAGTGGCTACTAGGACCGGGCAATAGAATCAAAGTTGCATCTTTCCAAGATAAATAAACAGAAAAGAAACCAATTGGGCTACTGTTTGCTCATCCAAAATTCAATTGGCTTTCGATGCTGAAAAGTAAAATCATACAAGTTATATAACAATGTTGGAGCAAAAATTATGGATGTATGTAATAGTTCTTAAAACTAACTATTTAGCTTATTCAAACATATATCCAGCTTATAATTTATTTTTAAGTAACATTTTTTCGAATTGCCGAATTTGTAAAAAGTATGATTCTTCTAAATGTTTTCTCTTTTCAACTAACAAGAAGAATATTTTTACTTCCTTTTCTTGTTCTGTTAAAAATTGTCAAATCCTCCGCACTAAACATGTCAAAATGTTTCCATGTCCGTGCTTTCTTTTTTTCAGGTTTTTTTTAGCTTTCTACTTCATTCAATAACCTTGAAATGCCTCGCTTAGGCAATTTCACTGTTCAGTAAGACATGTCCAAGATCAATTCTTTGCAAATTGAAGCACTCCTTATTTCTATGTGCAATGGCCCATAAAAAAGATGAATTGAAGCACTTTTTCCACATCCATATAAGGAGTTGTTTGTATCTACTTAAGGATTTCTTATTTTCTGCTTCATCCATTCCAAAATCAATTTTGAACAAATGTGATGGTTCCAGTTTATCAGCATTTGCATTGATACTGCACTGCAAGCAATGCTGGAATGTACTTCAATAGCTTCATTTCCACTTTGATCCTAATTCCTACACAATAGACAATAATTTATTCCTCTATGTTTCTTGGTTGGATCTGGAGTCTGAATAACCTTGCAAGTGATTTCTAGTGCTTTGCCTGAAACACTAACACTGAATTCTGAACCATTAGCATTGGAGCCTTGTAATCAGAGTTTAGCATATCGCGTTTCAAGCACTGGAGGATTTTCTCTTCAGATTTATGGTTGCTTCTTCAGATTTGTTTAGTTTTGTAAACCCTAATGATAGCTCTCTTATATATTGGGTATGTAACAGAAGTATCAGAGCTTTGGAGGGATGATACTTGTACTACCTGATCTCATCAGATCTGATTTCGCATCAGTTGAAAACAATTATGCTACATGAACATCAAGGTTCACATCACGTGGCATTCTATCATTGGACAGTTTAAAACACAGTCAATTTCTCCATCCCATCATCCACTGCCACGTGCAATTATGTCAACTTTTTGACAAAGGAGCTTTATCTGGTTGGAAAATTGATTATCTGGTAGTATCTTCAACAAATCTCCAAGGTTCACTGGAATTTTCAGTTTTGTTCACGTTGGTCCTTCCCATTAATTTATTATTCATCCCAAATCCTTTTCATTTGTATAGTAGGTCATCACCTCCAAAACTTGATTATTTTGGTGTTCAATTCCGCAATTTTGTACAACTTCAATTCAATTTCATCCAAACTTATCCATCTAAATTAATAATAAAAGAAGCAAGATTAAGTATATAAAAATTATAAGCACTCCCAAAAGCTTACTTTTGATGGCAATAATAACTGTAAAAATTACACTTATCAAAAACTCCAAAACTTGAACCTTTATTTGTCTTCAAATAAAGCAAAAGAGAGACTCAACTAAATTTCTAGACACATATACTTAACTCGACATATGTCATTCAATATTTCCTCAATTCAAACGGGTTAATGAAACAAAAGAATGAACAATTATTTCACAAACTTCACAAATCGTATATTCTGCTTTTGAGTGAGTGTGATAACCATTCTCAATTTCGTTGTACTACTCGAATCTATTTATGTACGTCAACTCCCAAAGCACCGTTTCTCAACAAAGCCAAATCTCATGTATGTCAATTTAATCTCTCTTCTTCACTCGTACTACTTTCTTAGTTTTTTCATTTATTTTTCTCGAAAAGCGAACAAAACAGGTGAAATGGGATTATTTTCATCATCAACTGAACCATTCTCAAAATTCATAATCGATGACCAAGACATAATCGAATAGAGAAAATACTTTAGTTGTTTTGCTTTGCCTCAACACACATTTGTGTGTTTCACATCTCTTTTCTTTTCCTTTTTCTGTTTCACTCTACACCATAGGTAGCCTTCTTTTTTAATAAATCATCTCTTAATCCTCGGTAATGAGTAGATTGAAATTACACAAGGCTAACTTCACATACAATGTATATAACTTTTTCCTACGTGCCACAACTAGGGCAATGTCTTTCACTTTTTTTAGGCCAACGAAAAGAACCGAATAATAGTGACGTGATGATGTTCTTATTCTAGATGAATCTAATCACCTCAACTTAATTTAAATGAATTTTCAAAAATGGATCTAAATGTGGTGAATAGTGTAATATATACATACTGCACACTAAGTCAGTTCACTATCTTTCTATGTGAATTCGAATAAGCCTTGATTAGACGCATTCAATTTCTAGGAATCTATGTAACAATTGTGATAATCATAAAGACGTATCTCAAAATTTTATCCAAACTATCCGATTTTATCTTGTAGTTTAAATCTATAACTTACCTTTCAGCTTGTTATAAATTCACAATTCATTAGTGGTCAATTAGTTAAAAGCATTAAAAATCATAAATAAAATCAACACATGGAAATTTAAACTACTACAATAATAAAATTGAAATAATAGGTTGCACATGTATTACATTATTTGCCCTAACTATGAATTTAGTTACTTATACTAATAAAAAAAATAATAATACATAGGAATAGAGTTCATTACCGAGTTTTGATACTTTGATAAATCAAAGAATTGAATCTTACACCAAGAATCTTCTCCATTTCCAAAATATTGCAGATCCCAACTTTTTGCTCTTTGATCTTAAATTTTTATTTGTCTCTCTAAATTCGCGTCTCTTTCTCTAATCGTGTTTTTCTCTCTATTGTGTGTACCATAAAAAATAATTATAAAAGCTGTATATAGAAGTCTAAAAAGTTAAAAACATGTCCCAAGTAGAATTTGAGTATACAATTAGAAAATCAACAAAAGCTAGAATTTCTTCCACTTTCATGCACTTTGTTCCTTCACGTTAATATCTTGTCCAACCTAAGTCCTTTTATTTGTATGATAGGTTCTCAACTTCTAGACTTGATTATTTTGATCCTTATTTCCTCAATTTTGTATAGCTTCAATTTAATTTCATCCAAACTTCTTCAATCTGAATTTTCTTCCAATTTTATCATAAAATAAGCAAAATTAAATATCTAAACAATAAAAGCACTCCATAAAGTGAAAAAAAACAAAAGAAAACTAGGGTATCTTTGTCAGTGTGCTTATTTTAGTCAAACTAGTACTAAGCACGTGCGTTACACGTCTTATGTATCGATTAATGACATATATTAATTAAATAATAACTTAATACAAGAACTATAATGTAAATTATAAAGATTAACGAGGACTTTGTTGATTAAAAGTAAAAAACTTCAGAATAAAATAATCAATTGAATGTTTCCCAATCATTCATACGTAGGGTAAAAATGATTGGAAGTAGAAAAAATTATTGCTAACCTTAAAAACCCTGATATTTAACATATTTGTAACCTTATTAATATATTAATGCAATCTTTCAATTTTGCAACCTCAATTAAATAAGAACTTAATACACAAATTATAATGTAAATTATGAAGATTAAAAGGGCTTTGTTGATGAAAAATAAAAAATTTAAGGAAAAATTAATCAATTGAAAGATAAGCCATTGAATTTTCGTGTGTAATTTTTTTAAAATTTTTTTAGTGATCGAATGTCTCAATTAATATATTAATGCAACATTTAGCACATTTGTTACCTCATTAATACATCAATGCAACCTTTCAATTTTGTAACCCCAATTAAATAATAACCTAATGGATGAATTATAATGTAAATCATGAAAATTAATAAGGGTTTTGTTGATGAAAAATAAAAATAGCTTTGTCAGTGAAAAATAAAAACTCAATGGATGAATTATAATGTAACTCATGAAGATTAATAAGGGTTTTGTTGATGAAAAAAATTGCCTTGTTGATGGAAAATAAAAATTGTAAGAACAAAATATTCAATTGAATGATAAATCACTAAGTTTTCGTTGATTTATTATTAGTTTTTTAATAATTTAATATCAATTTCACTCCTTATTTTAATTCCAACTCAAATGATAAATATCAATTAAATATTTCACCACTTATATTAATTCTAAATCAAAAGATAAATATTAATTAAACTGGTAATAAAGGCTTTGTTGATGATGAAAATTAAAAATTGTAAAGAAAAAATTAATTGAATGTTAGTCATTGAATTTCCGTGTGTAATTTCTTTTTTATTCATTGAATGTCCTCATTAATATATTAATACAACCTTTAAAATATTTGTAACCTCAATTAACTAATAACTTAATGGATCAATTATAATGTAAAGCACGAAAATTAAAAATTGCTTTGTAGATGAAAAATAAAAACTCATTGCATGAATTATAATGTAAATCATGAAGATTAATAAGAGTTTTGCTGATGAAAAATTAAAATTGATTCGTTGGTGAAAAATAAAAATTGTAAGAACGAAATGGTCAGTTGAATGGTAAGTAACTTTCTTTTTTTTTTTCGATATAATTGAATGTTAGTTTCACTCTTTATATTAATTCCAATCCAAAATGAAAAATATCAATTAAATATCTCACTTCCTATAGTATATTAATTCTAAACCAAATGATAAATACTAATTAAATTGATATTCCAATTATGAGTGTATAGTTGGCATATAGTTAAATATGTATGGGTAAATTTGGTATTTAAAAGTTTCTCCACCATCCCCACTTTTAATATATTGTAGATATATATGACGATGTGCATTTAGTACCACATTTTTTTTTATCATTTTCTAATTGCTGAAATTCTTCAATATTTTGCTCATTGTAACACTTATCTCTCAACTTTTTCGTAGCATTTTTCTCTCCAACCTCTTATTAATTATACATTTTGTACATGATAATAATTTCTGATAAAAAAGTTCATAAAACAAAGAAATTTACTTGTTAATCATATTTTTAATTAAGAAAATATAACACATAGTAGTACAACAAAATATCTGCCTCTCATTTCAAAGCGCCCGCTAACAGCCAATTGTTGTAAATAATGAAAAATCGAGGATAAGAATACGACAAATACAAGATGGGAACACAAGTGTGAAAATAAACCCATGGTTGACTCTCATTTTCAATTACATATTTCACAGAATTCACAATTTTAATCAACTTTTTTGCTATATACTTCATCAAATTTTATTTAAAATCTATTTTTTTAGCTAAACTAAACATAGGCTATGTAAAAATTGAAGATTGCATTAAAAAGTGGTGAAAAAAATGGCCAATATCAATATCACTACCTTTGCCATTAGCATTTTTGTATTTTATGGGGTGTAAATGTCAAGTTTTAAAATTTGAGAGGGCTAAACGCCGTTAAGTCAAAAAAAGGGGTGGTAAATAAAAATCCACCACAGCGGAAAGAAACGATCCCGCCCCATGAAAGAGAAACTGAGCATTCGAGAGAAGAGTGTGAATTCTTAGCCACGAGTGTCCGACAATTCGAAGAGAGAGTGAGATTTTGATCCGAAGTTACAGGGACACTCCCAAAACAATATTGATTCCATACAATGAGATTAACCGAACCAAGGACCGGGAAAACAAATAAGAGTAATCAATCTGCTATTTCATGCACTCATCATATCCTTGCCATTTTATTTTTTTTTCAGAAATCTTGAATTATATCACACTTTCGAAATTTTCTCCTTCATATATACGTCTAGATCCTTACAAATTTGCATATCTGTGCCTTTGAATGTGTTGCCCACAACATATGTGTTTTGGAGGGAAGATGGGTAGCCTCATCCACGGTCAAGATTGCCTTTGAGAAACTGAGGAGTGAATTGGAGCTTAAAAATGGTATGCATTATACACGTTAATTTTCTGAAACTTTTGAATGTATGGTAAGGACATGTGAATTGAATGTTAAAAATTGTGAATTTCTGAAATTGTACGTCGGTATACACGTTAATATGTTTACGGCTAATGGGTGATCACTGAGGCGATAATTGTAAAATATGGGTATTAGAAACTAGATCCTAAAGAAAATAAGCTTAATACTTTAGGACTAAAATTTTGGGGAACAGATTTCCTGAGAATTTGGCAATTACCCGGGAATTTATTTCTTTTTAATTGTATAGATTACTATGAATGTGTGAAAATAGTAACTGAACAATTATCCCCAATATTTGTATATTTACTTGTTTTTAAAACTCTATGAACTATAGAAGATAGTGTTATCTGTGAAGATTGTCTTGTTATAAGGTATTGTATGACAGCTATGTCATTAAACTGGAGCAATTAGATTTCCAATTAGAAACGGAACGAATATTGGCCAAATCATTTATGCCAAAATTAGTAGTTGTGAACTGAGCTTATACTATAGAGCATATTAACCTTTGCACATGCAGAGTTACAAACCTTAATGCCCAATTCGTAGAAGTCCTACATTTGTGGAAATGTTATATTTTTTTAGCTTGGTTTCCAGATGGAGTTAGAAAAGTACTATCACAGCAGCACAACGCAAAAATGAACGAAAAAATAGTAGATAGAGACACTAGATGCCAATTGAAGATAATAACACTGACATTATCAAGAATCAAGTAGGCTTAGTTAATTCACTATTTAAGAGAAACAGGAGTGGAACAATATGTTTTCTACGGGATATAGCCAACCTTGGCTAGAGTTTTAGATATTGAAGATTTTTAATGTAATAGATCACCAGAACGATTATATAATTACTTATAATCTCATGATATATGTTTCTAGCAAAAAGAAACCTGTTCCACCATTTGTTCGTTAAACGATTTAGTAGGCAATACGATTTTTGATTCTGTGAATATGAGAGCAATTGAAATTTTATCTAGAAAAAAATTCATTTATTTTACCACTATAGTATGTATTTCACCAAATAGGATTGTGCAGACTTCAACTTTTAATATTATAATATATAGAAATTCTAGCCAAGGGACTTCCTTTTCCTTCGAAGGCACTAATTAGCTGCAGTGTATTGTTAAAGTATACTTTAGTGTGCTGAAACATTTCTTGTTATGTGCAACTCTTAATTGCTCCTGAAGAGCCATATGGATGAAGCACATTGAAGATGACAAAAGGTTACAGTAATTCATTGTAAATCATTTTAGCTGACTGCTAACTAAAAACTACATAAAATAAGGAGAGCGCCCACATCCTTCTTAACCTAAGATCGAGTTTGTTAAACACCCTGCAAAAGGCAGTTGATTATAGGTGGAGAGAGTGACCAAACTCGTGGTCTGATTGACAAGTTTCAATGAAAACATGCAAATTCTCTACTTGGAAGTATTCCCTTGTGAAACTGCGCACTTAATTTAGCATTTCTATTAAACTTTCCACATTTCTCATGCAAGAAGAATTATTTTATTACCTGAACTTTTCTTCAATTCTGAAAGGGCACAGCCATTAACATAATTGTTGGCTCTCACGTCTGGGTTGAGGATCCCGCATTAGCTTGGATTGATGGAGAGGTAACCAAAATTCAAGGCCAAGAAGTTGAGATCGAGACAAGCAATGGAAATAAGGTATATTTTTTACAATTGTAATTATTTAAATTGTTGCTACTTGTTCTCTTACATAATGGTACGTCAATTTGAAAGAAGATACAATTGGCTCCTCTGCTGTAAATCCATGGGCTCTGATGCTCGGACTCTTCGAAATGGCGTGTTGGACATTACACGACATGGGTATGGGATATGTGTTGGACCCTCCAAATTTCAACCGAACAATTCGCCTTTTTTTGCTTCTTCTTTCTTTTTCTTTTCTTTCCGTTTCTACTCTCTATAAACCTAGTGTGACCTCAAAAAGGGTGGAGAAAGGCGACGGCGCTATATTTTTCCTCCTTCTTTCCCTTTTCTTTTCTTCTTTTTCCCTTCTTTCCCCCTCTGTATCGGCGGTTTACAGTTTTGTTTGTATAAAATGAAAATGGGTTCCATATAATACTACTTAGTGCTCCACTAAATCCAAATTGCAATCAAGTCCCTCATTTTCTATTTTATATAATATTTAGCCCCCGTCTGTGGCCCCCATTTTGTGAAAATGAAAATAGGAATAGTGTTTTTTTTTAAAATCAGTGGTTGAAAAAGAAGGAAAATATTTTGGTTTACGTGTAATATTATTTTATAGAAGATTGTGTGGTTGAAAATAAGAGAGAGAAAAATGGAATGAAAATTAATGGAGGCCAAACGGGGGCTTAGTAATTAAATTTTCATACTTGAAAACTAAACCCCAAAATCCTATATTATTTGTCTTAACCTCTTATTTAATACTATTTCCTTCTTTGTGAACAACTAATTTTGGTCTATTCAAAAATAATATTTTGAGTTAGTAAAAAATTGAAGTTTGAAAGATATACCAACGTACCCGTGTCCAAAATTTAGACCCTTTTTAGTCATGTTTCTGTATCTTACATTTTAGAAAATAAAAGATTGGACACTTTGATACGTACCCGTACCCGATACCCATACCCGAGTCTGAGCATCATAGTCCATAGGGAACAACATGACCTAAAATTTTACTCTTTATGACAATGTGAAATTTGTCTATTCCGAATGATTTTTTTCACATTTTTTTCTAAAATATTCCTGGAGTTGATTAATTGTCAGAATGCTTTTTATTCATCTTCCAAACTTCCTACATCTGGAAAAACTCGTGCACATGCAATATATTTTTGGATTACGGTTCTCCTGAACAAGAGTACTTATATTTTTTAAACTTGTGTCATCCCTAATGTTAGTTTACTGTTTTTTTTTCAGGTTGTTACCGAGTTATCGAAACTTTATCCTAAAGACATGGAAGCACCTGCTGGAGGTGTTGATGACATGACAAAGCTATCTTATTTGCATGAGCCTGGAGTTCTGGAGAATCTGAAAATAAGATATGAACTCAATGAAATCTATGTATGCCATTCTAGTAGTTTGTATGGATACTAACCTTACTTACTTTACTATGGTCTGATCACAATCATGTATTTTGGAATGCTGGGCAGACTTACACTGGAAATATTTTAATAGCTATAAATCCATTCCAAAGACTGCCTCATATATACAATCAGCATATGATGCAACAGTACAAAGGAGCTGCTTTTGGAGAACTAAGCCCGCATGTCTTTGCTGTTGCGGATGTTGCATACAGGTTAATTTACCCCATTTGTGCTGATAGATGATGCAATGATGCCTTTAATATTCTCTATAATAAGATAATCTTTTCGCTGAAAATAGGGCAATGATCAATGAAGGAAAGAGTAATTCCATCCTGGTTAGTGGTGAAAGTGGGGCAGGTAAAACTGAGACCACAAAAATGCTTATGAGGTACCTTGCCTTTTTGGGGGGCCGAGCAGCTACAGAAGGGCGCACTGTTGAACAACAAGTTCTTGAAGTATGATACATGAAATATTTGTTTTTTATATATAGTCAATTCAAGTACCTTCACTTTTACACCTGTATCCTACATGATAAACTCTCATGGATCTTTTTCGCACCAATTCATGAGTGCAGTCCAATCCCGTTCTTGAAGCATTTGGCAACGCTAAAACTGTTAGAAATAACAATTCCAGGTGAAGCTCCCTAAATCTTTTGTAGTTAAGTTTTGTTGTTCTTATTATCTTTGCATCAAAATAATTACATCAATGCATGGTTATGTTAATTCTTTCACTCGTCTTTCTAGCAAGGAAAGTAATGTTTCCGAGAAGAATTTAACTCCCAATTAACCAGTATCAGATATATGTTTTAGTATGTCAAATTGCAATATTGTAGTTGATATTTTTTAACACATACTATCCTAAATTTGGTAATACTGCAGTCGCTTTGGTAAATTTGTTGAGATTCAGTTTGACAAGCAAGGGAGGATATCTGGAGCTGCTATCAGGACTTACCTTCTAGAAAGATCTCGTGTTTGTCAATTATCTGATCCTGAGCGCAACTACCACTGTTTTTACCTCCTTTGTGCAGCACCACAGGAGGTGCCTTGTTGTTGTCGTTTCACGGATAAGATTTCGATTATTGTCCTTTTTCTCTGCAATGTATTACACTTCCTTTTCATAACAACTGAGGCAACAATCTTTGTCCTGCCAGGAAATTGATAAGTATAAGTTAGATCACCCCAAATCATTTCACTATCTTAATCAGTCCAAATGCTATGAACTAGTTGGTGTAAGTGATGCCCACGACTACCTTGCCACCAGAAGAGCAATGGATATTGTTGGAATCAGTTTAAAGGATCAGGTATATCCTTTGAAACTGATGCCTATGGCTAACAATAACATCCTCATAGCACAGAACTCGTAATCCCTTTTCTATTTGTTCTCTCTCTCTCTCTCCCCTCCTCTTCCTCTCTCTCAGGAAGCAATTTTCAGAGTTGTTGCTGCCATTCTTCATCTCGGCAATGTCAATTTTGCAAAGGGAAAGGAAATTGATTCATCAGTTCCCAAAGATGAAAAATCCAAGTTCCATCTAAAAACAACAGCAGAACTACTCATGTGTGACAGCTTCTTATCCCTTGTTCAAAATTTTTGTACTGTGTGTTCCGTTTAAATGGTGGAAAGTTCTGATTAGGCTTTTATTATTATTATTATCTTAGGTGTGATTCTGCAGCTTTGGAAGATGCATTATGTAAACGTGTAATGATTACTCCCGAAGAAGTTATTAAGCGAAGTCTTGATCCCCTTAGTGCCACAGTTAGCAGGGATGGATTAGCGAAGACTATATATTCTAGACTATTTAATTGGTATGAAGATTTTGCAGCACTTAGCCATTATCTAATCAATTATAATGTTTTCATGGAAAAAGATAAATCAACTGCTAAACAACATTTCTCTTCATGTGGGAAATCATAATACAGGTTGGTAGACAAGATCAATAACTCAATTGGGCAAGACAGTAAATCTAAATCTATTATTGGGGTACTTGACATTTATGGGTTTGAAAGCTTCAAGCACAACAGGTAGCAATTTTTCAGATCATATCCCCTTCTTCCCCAGGGAAAAAAAAGAAAGAAAAGAATTCTCAAAATAACCAAAAGGTCCAAAACAGAAACAAAACACGTACTTTAATGGGTGGGAAAAGGCTATGCCTTTATTCTCTTCTGATTGCAGCATAATGTATCATGCAGTTTTGAGCAGTTTTGTATTAATTTCACAAATGAGAAACTGCAACAGCATTTTAACCAGGTAGTTTCTAGATCATATAGACCTTATAGGCCTTTGATCTTTTATCAACTTGTTAAGTCTCTATCAATAACTTGCAGCATGTTTTCAAAATGGAACAAGAAGAATACACAAAGGAAGCAATTGATTGGAGCTACATTGAGTTTGTTGATAACCAAGATGTATTAGATCTTATTGAGAAGGTACTTCTTTACTGTGAATTTATAGCTCCCATCATAAGAAATTTTGAACTGATACTATAGTTTTTAACTTCAACAGTGCAATAGATACACTGACCTTCAAATATCTAGATTACATATTCTATAGTATAAATTACTTCTAACTACATTGTTTAAAATAGTTCTTTGAATTTTTACTTAAATTAGCCTAGTTTCATTCCCATGTTAAAATGTTAACTGGCGATTCCATCACAAACATTTCAGCCATTATCTGCAAAACTTTAGACGTTCGTCCACTAACCAAAATTGCTTCTTCTTCTTTTTTTTTCCCCTAAATTTTTACAGTAGCTTATGCTTTTTACCATGTTGTGTTCCAAAGTGCATCTTAAAAATGGTTTATTCTAGGAACTTCCACTCCCTATCTGCAGGTTTCTGTGCCCAAAATTTCCCATTTATTGTCCTTTAATCTGTTCCCTTTTGAGCTTATTTTCAACAAGCACTGCGACTAGGAGAACCTTAGATTAGATTACTTTATAAATTGCTGGTTTGTTTAATGTTTACTCAGATTCTTGAATAAATGTTACGGGATAGCTGCATCATTTTTGTACTCCCTGAAAGGAAATGCTTAAGGAAACATTCAAATAAATATATGTATCACTTCTCATTAGCTTAAGTTTTTAGATGAGATAATTAGTTCAACTCTGGCCGCCACCCATTTACAAAATATTGTCACATGGCAGACCTTTAAAATTTAGGGCAGAGTGTTGAAGACAATATTTAAATAAAAAACTATATCCCTTCTTCAATAGCTAAATTTTTAGATGAGTTGGTTAATTTGAAAAGAAGAAAAAATTATCTCAACTTGTTGAAAAGAGAGGGAAAATTGAACAGAAATCTTTTCTCTGAACCTAAGTGCTGATATTTAAAGCTAAGTGGAAAAAAAGTGTGTTTTTCAGAATTACTTTCCTTCCACCGTCTTCAATTGATTTTGGAAAATTAGATGTTTGTTAGTGTTGTGACATTGATATCTGAATTTATTTGATTTACTTGCCCCTAGTAAGTTCAAAATTTAAACGTACAATCAACTATGATTGCTTTTATTTCAATTTTCCCTTTTCTAAGTTTATTGTGAAAAAATAAGAAAAATAGTTTCATTTGGAAGTGAATTAGGTCTTTTGAAACATCGAAAATGGCCAAGTTCATGCAGTAACAATAGGATGGCGGGAGTAGATAGAGAAACCCTATATTTAGAAAATAGTCTACCAGTGATTTTAAAGCCCAAGGGCATACCTTAAAAATTTCATAATAAGGATAGCAAACTCGTGTGAGACCTCATTCGAGGGTGCATGTCTGGTGTGTGTGGAGGGAGAGAAACAACTTCTGTTTTGACGATCATTCAAGGACTACAGAGCACATCAAAGAATCATTTTATTTGACCTTGTATAATTGGTTTCATACTGCGGCTATTACTCGTATAGACGGGTTGCCCAACTTTATGTCGTTTCTTTTTTGTATAAATTGATAATACACTTCCTGTGTATTATTCGTGATTAATAGAATATTTGATTACTTATAAAAAAAAAAGGAAAAAAAAGAAGGTTTTCGTATAATCAATCTAATCCAGTATTGAAATTAAAAACTCTGATGGCCATCTTATACGTTACTTCACTTACAACTCGATAGTTGTCAACAAAGTAACTGAACTGAGATTAATATGAAAGTGAAGATTTAAATGTAAAAGGAGATGGGATTGTGACAGCTGATTATCTGGCCGTGTTCAATTTTGGCATCATGAAGCAATGCATTTTTATTTCTTGCTTCTTCCATCCAAGGGCCTAGATTGGTTCCAGGTACCCTTGAGCTAGGCCAGAGTCAACAAGTATGCCTGATGTGCATCCTACAGCTAAATGTAGAGGCATAATGTTAATTTGAAATGAAAAATAATGGCATGTTGTAAGCTTAACTGTTGGAGACAGAGAGGAAGGTATCTAAAAGTACAGCAGTTCTTTAGCCTGAAAATTTCAACAAAGGGGATTTTGGATTCTTAGCCATTGCAACTGATCCTGTTTTCTGGAAGCATTTTCAAACGAGTCTGAAAGAAGTCTTTGGACTTTGCATTCTTGTTAGTAATGATGAACCTAAATGGACATCTCACGCATGATGTGTTTTTATATCATAGACTTTTTAGAATGAACTCATTAAAAGATGAAATGGATATTTATAATTATTAGTCCTTTTTTAGTGGATATCTCGAATGCACTATGAATTGGTAAAAACTGGTATTATTTTCTCTTGCAGAAACTAAATGAACCTAAATGGACATCTCGCGCATGATGTGGTTTTATATCATAGACTTTTTAAAATGAACTCATTAAAAGATGAAATGGATATTTATAACTATTAGTCCTTTTTGAGTGGATATCTCGAATGCACTATGAATTGGTAAAAACTGGTATTATTTTCTCTTGCAGAAACCAGGTGGAATTATTGCCCTCCTTGATGAAGCATGGTAATGCCCCTCACCGTGCTTGGACATTTTTTTCACTTATAATTCTTGAAAGATATCCAAAGCAATGACTTGACTGGGAAAGTTAGAGTCGAAAATAGGATTTCTCACTTCTTTTTCTCATTCAAAACCGTGCACGAGACTTTCATCTCCATTGCACAATTTTGCTAGTTAGACTTTTACTTTAGTCAACCTTTTTATCATTTTTCCCTTCCTGTCATAGTTGGAAATTATTTTATTTAACTAGTTTATCCGCAATTTTAGATCAAAGGTTTGACATGAAGCTAGTTGATGATGTCATATTCTTGTCTAATTGATCTCCTGTTTTCAGTATGTTCCCAAAATCAACACATGAGACATTCTCGAACAAGCTTTATCAAACATTCAAGAATCACAAGCGCTTTGTGAAGCCGAAATTGTCCCGCACAGATTTTGCTATCGCACATTATGCCGGAGAGGTATATAAAGCTAATTTTTTTTCATGGCATGTATCTGCTGCCAAAATTTTCAATCTCACATTCGATCAAATTCAGGTTCAATACCAATCTGACCAGTTCTTGGACAAAAACAAAGACTATGTCGTTGCCGAACACCAAGATTTGTTAACTGCTTCCAAATGTTCTTTTGTAGCGGGCCTTTTCCCTCAATTACCTGAAGAGACTACAAAATCTTCTAAGTTCTCTTCTATTGGTTCACGCTTTAAGGTAAATAAGCTTAAGATTTCATCGTGGTTCTAGCTGTATCACTGTAAATACATTCATGTCTAGATACAACTTTAACACATAGAGCATTTTCAATTTTGTAATTTGATAAAGTGAACTGACATGAAATACTATAATGAAATATGTAACATTTACGAATCTAATTATGCAGTTACAACTACAACAATTGATGGAAACTTTGAGTGCTACAGAACCTCACTACATAAGATGTGTGAAGCCTAATAATCTTCTTATACCTGCCGTATTCGAAAATGCTAATATTTTGCAACAGTTACGTTGTGGGGTATGTACTTCTGACCTTCACAATGATATGGTTCTTCTTTTTAAAATAATTAAGACATATAGTTTTGTCTTTTTATGTCATTGTTTCTAAACAGTTGGTTCTATCTTGTTGACATATAACCAATTGGTCCCATCATTGTTAGGGTGTTTTGGAGGCAATCAGGATAAGTTGTGCGGGATATCCTACTCGCCGTCCTTTCTTTGAGTTTACAAATAGATTTGGGCTTCTTGCACCAGAGGTGTTAGTAGGAAAGTAAGTCCCTTCTCTAGCTTAAACTGGCATTCAAACCTCACTTGCCCATCTCATACATGGGCAATTTACATATGTTGAACCACTTGATTTAAAACCTTAAGCAATTAGAGAGGGCCGCATGTATATCATTTAGATTGTCTTCAGCTTGTTCCTTCATGCGTAGGGCAGGTTCATTTTTCCATCAAAGCCTGATGCGTGCACAATTTCATTAAACGGGTAGCGGAGAGACTTTGTTGGTTAACAGATGAGATTCTTAATGATGGTTGTATATGCCGATTTTCGCAATAATCGCTTGGACAACGGCACGATTAACCTCATTTTATATGTTTCGGATCTATTTACTTACTTTTGAGGGGCATTTGAAAGTTCATTTACAATATTAAGTGGCAACCAAAATACCCCACCCAAGACATTTGTGATACGTTGTTGAACCAATTGATATTAAAGCTTAAGTTGTTGAAGAGGTCACATCTATATTATTTAAATTGTGTCTTCAATAATAAATATTGTCTTACCATTAGTTACAATTACAGTTATGTTGTTGATTTTATTGATATTACAATTTTGGTTAAAGATTTATATAATAATATTAAAGGTCTTTACCATGAGCAGCTATGATGAAAAGGTTGCGTGCAAGAAGATTTTGGAAAAGAAGGGGCTCAAAGGTTTCCAGGTACTAGCCATAGTTATTTCAATGCTTGAGATGTGTTCATTATTTAAAAAAAGTTCTTAGATGCTACTCAAGGTACAAAAAAATGATAGATTCATGTAGCTTGATTACCATGCATTCAGGGGCGGAGCCAGGATTTTAGTTCAGTGCGGGCAAAAAATTTCGACGCTGAATGTTGAGGTTTTGGTCATGGATTTAATAACGATAAAAATATAAAATAATAGTACGACAATACTAAAAATGACATAATTTATATATTACACTAGTTCCTTGCGAGTTTTCATACTCTGTGCGAATCGAAACTGTGACGCCGCGATAGAGACGAAATCTCTCTCTCATAGACAAAGGGTTGGATTGATTCAAATGAGTAATTGGGTTTGGATCAATTGAATTTTGAGGGAATGGGTCTAATTGGGTTAGAAAAAAATATAATTGGTTAGAAAAAATATAATGGGCCTAATTGGCTCTTCTCATTGGGATCTTCTATAATTGCTGGAGACAAGAAGCTGCCAAAGCACTCATTAACTTCTGCCCAAAAGTCTAGGAGGGCATTTGCCCGCACTGGACATGTTGTGGCTCTGCCCATGCATGCATTGGCCTATCTATTTTTTCTCACTATGGCAGTCCCATATCTATCAGTTGTGGATTTTCCCGATTTAGGAGATATGCAAGCAATACATAACATGCTTCAATGCATCTTTCTACTATTCTTTGAATGCATATTTTATGCTTATGGATGTTCTGCATTCTTAAGATAAGTTATTTCATTTAATTTGCTCTGGTCTCTATAATTTAGGCTTCAAAAAAATATGGCGATTCATATTTTGCTAGTCTCTATAGAAAGCTATCTCTTGGATAATTTTGCAGTTTATCAAATGCTATATTGAAAATTGTGTGCAATTCTGAAATGATATGTTGATGCACCAAGGATCAAAAAATTTTCATAGAATTAAGTGAGTTGCTTCTGACTTTATAGGTAGGCAAAACGAAGGTATTCTTGAGAGCTGGTCAGATGGCTGAGTTAGATTCACGTAGAACAGAAGTTCTTAGTAATGCAGCAAAATCTATACAACGACGCATACGAACTCATATTGCTCGCAAACAGTTTGTTGCACTGAGAGAGGCTACCATTTATGTGCAATCATTTTGCAGAGGTGAGCCACTTCATTAATCAAGTGTAAAGATGATAAATTATTTTTACTTTTTGGTAATTGGCTTCATATCTACATCTTTTAAAATGTCAATCTTTAAAGTTTTAATGTCTCTCTCCCCACGCATGACAACCCCCTTTCCCTGTATCTTTCCTTTTCTCTTGAATTGCTCAAAATTTGTATGATTTTTAGGTAGACTAGCCGGCAAAGTATATGAGAGATTGAAAAGGGAAACAGCTGCTGTAAAAATCCAGAGTAACACACGTAAACACCAAGCTGAAAAAGCATATAAAGCACTGCAGGTTGCAGTGCTTGTTGTACAAACAGGTCTACGTAACATGGAAGCTCGTGAAAGATTTGGATTCAGAAGACAAACTAAAGCTGCAACCATTATACAGGTTTACTTGTTCGTTATACTTCATTGCTAAGATTTTTAGTTTGTATTAAATGAAGCTCCCTACTTAAATCCATTCTTACTCAGGTGCGGTGGCGCTGCCATAAAGCTGCATCCTACTTTAGGAAGCTTAAGCAGGGAACAATTAAAGCACAATGCAGATGGAGGGGAAGAATTGCAAAGAAAGAGTTATGGAAACTTAAACAAGTTAGCTCCAGTACCATTTAATTGTTGAAGTACTAATTTTTATCGTGGTATTTCATTTTTGACGGCATTTTCAAATTGATTATTTTTTATGTATCGAAATGGTCGATTCCAACCGTTGGAATAAAAAAAGAAGAGTCACGAGAGGTTTTTCAAACCAAAAACAAAAAATGTCTTTATTTTCCAGGTTTTTAATAATGATTTTGAATTTTGAATTGTTGTGATTTTTGCCCAGCAGAAATTACTTAGGTTTTGAGGCTCCATTATAAGTTCTATCATATATCTTCTGATCGCCAACTCATACTTGGTCTGATTTAATTTTATTGAAATCGGGAGAATGCACCTCTTACATATCAGAATTTATGTTCTCAATTACATTTTCATCTACGATATTTATTCTTATGAAAATAAATGATCTGTATGTTAGGAAATTGGTACTGCAAATTTATGTTGATACTCATGAGTTGATCGGCCTAGTTGAATTCTGAAAAGATGCTGACTTCAGAGTGTTCTTGTGAAGAAACTTGTTAATAATAAAATCCAGTCTGCAGGTTCACATATAGCACTGGCTGTATTTCTATGCAGGCTGCAAGGGATACTGGTGCACTCAAGGAGGCAAAAGATAAGCTTGCAAAGCAGCTTGAGGAACTCACATGGCGATTGCAACTTGAAAAACGTTTAAGGGTAATGTCACTTCTTTGAGATAAATATCATCTTTTGATTAGCCATTAAGCACTGTTTGACACTATTTAAAATTTTAATATATTTCTCTCTCTCTTCTTTTCAACCGCACATTCTTCAATAAAACAATATTACACTTAAATTAAAAAAAATTCCTTCTTTTTTAACTCCACATTCTCCAAAAAACTACTATTCCATTATACATTTAACAAAATTTCTCTTTATAATGGGGCTTAAACAAGGGCTAAGAATTACTGATTTTTGTGTTTGCTTGAAAGTCTTTTAAAAAAAAAAAAAAAAAACCTTGAAATTCATTAAAACGTATCTCAATTATCATGCAGTCACGAGGACAATCAACCAATTATTTTGTTGTGAACTATTTAACATCAATTTCCTTAGTTACTTAATTTCTTGTTTCCTATCATGGATTAATATACATTGTTTGGCATGCCTATCATTGAAATCATCAAAGCAGACTGACTTGGAAGAAACAAAAGCTCAGGAGATAGCAAAGTTGCAGAACTCTTTGGAAGATATGCAGAAGAAAGTTGAAGAAACAAATGCCGTTCTTGTCAATGAACGAGAGGCTGCGAGAAAAGCAATTGAAGAAGCCCCTCCAGTTATCAAAGAAACTCCAGTTTATATTGAAGATACCAAAAAAATTGATTCTCTAACCAAAGAAGTTGAAAGTTTAAAGGTAACGTTGCATGATGAAACATCAGAGCTAATCCACACTATCACATGGAAAACAGATTGTTGAATTCAATGCTCCAATAGTGTGTACAAATAGATTAATATATCTCATTTGATTCAAATATTTCGTAGATTAATTTGTTCAATGCTTTTAAGGAAAGTGAACTATGAGAGATGTCAACTTGACATGACCCATGAGCTCAAGCCATTCAGTCTTGAGGTCATCTATGCATTTAAGTTATGCTTTCACCAGTTACTTTGGTAAATTACCTCTCAATTCTTAATCCAACTTGCTTTGCGAGTTGGATTACATGCAACTCTATGGATATGAACTTTTAGTCCAGTCAGCCTCATCCCACTCAGTTGTCTTTTGACCACTACAAAGCCACTATCAATGTAGATCTTGAGCTGCAAGCTCCAATGGAGTATCTCATCAAATTTTTCCCACCATTTACCTTATAATGATCTATAAAATTCCTGCACTGGAAATTAAAGTGTCTAGGTCAGGGGCGATCACGGGGGAACTTAAAGGATAATCACCTCAATAGCCCCTACAAATCCATTATCTTTGTGTTTTTCATCCATAGACATTTTGATCCTTGGACACCAAATTCATACATTGATAACCCAGTGATCTAACCATGATAATTTAGATATTAATGCTACGTTGTGAAGTCAATGTAAACACTTAGCCATTGAATCTCGATTACTTTTACGTTGTGTCTATTTTAATTCCTCTTTTTCATACTGCTTCTACATGGGGCTAATCCTTACACTCCTCTCACTTAATTCACTTCACAGCACCCAGCGTGACAGTCTAATAGACTAGTTGGTTTGCTGATAATTGGTAATTTATAAAGATATCTTTCATTCCGTTCTAGATAACTGGATCTTCTGAGAAAGTTAGTCTTCGAGGCTGGATAAACCCTTTTTTGAGCTCCTACAACTTGGGTCTGAAGATCTACAACTCAATTTTATAATTTGTGTTTTACTACATATTTCTGTTTTTAACATTCCAGAGAGATTTTCAGGGAGGGATATATGGGAGTATAACTTGCAGTTTTCTGTTCCACTGAAATTGGAATGCTTCACCTTTTATGCATCTGCATTTCTTCGTCTATCTTCTTCAGCAGTGTTTGGACTCTTGTTTGCTATGGTTACGGGTAACTCTGTTGACATGGAAGACACTGGAGACGACATATGATCTGTACCATACCCTTTACTAACTGTACAAATTGTATATCGTTATCTGGGGGTTCCCCAAGTTCCGTATTATGGAGGCATATTCATTTTAGTTCTGTTGTGTATTCTTTCTTTACATCACTTAATTTTTCTTGAAAATATATATTGAATCTGATGGTGAATATATCTATTGGTACAAAAGTATATTAGTATTCACGACTTAGAATTCTTCACGTAGGAGGCATTATATATTTCTGATTGAGTTAATTTTCTTCCATAATGTTTTTGAAAACTTTCCTTTTTTACCTATCAAAAAAAAAAAAACTTTCCTTTTGACACGTCTAAGTTCTCTTGCATATTCATCTCGCAATGACAAGAATTTGAAGAATCTAACATGAAAGCAATCAAAAGTGATTGAGAACAAGTTACTTCTCTAGAATAAAAAAGTTTACAGTGTAACCTGGTAAACAGTAAAATCTGGTATGAAATAAACATTTAAAATATGCACATCATAGAATATATTGTTTTTCTTGATACAATACTTGTGTGCATCTTTCTCTAGTAAAACAAGACACTGACAGCTTAATTGTTTATTCTATTCTGTTCAGGCTTCTCTGGAAAGTGAAAAGGAGGCTTCTAATGATTTGAGAAAGAAATACTCTGAAGCACAGGAATGTAGTGAAGAGAGAAGTATAAAGTTAGAAGAAACAGAAAAAAGTGTTCATCAACTACAGGAATCTATCCACAGGTAGTCAAAAATGACATACAAAAGCTGGTGATAGCATGCTAAGAATAAACCAAAGAATCAGGCTTTTTATATGCTCAATGCACAGAGATCACAAGAACTTGCTCATTTTCTTGCCATTCAGGACCAATGATCTTCATGCCTTTCTCTTTCTCACAGTAAGGGATCCATCAAAATGGATGGAACAGACACAGGATCATTGGTCCCTGATCAGCGGATAATGGCTCTACTAAAGGCATATGGCATTTGGAAACAGGCAAAAATATGATCTCCTTCCACATTTCAGAATCTTCCATTTTTGTCTCTTCTTCAATTTCCATTTTTATTGCTTTTATTCTAGTCCTTATTCTTTTTATTAAAATATTCCCCAGTGTATGGGAGAAAACAGGAATAAACATAAAGATATCTAGTATCTGTCACTGCTATGTCTGCATCCTTACACTACTCTTTTCGTCAAATCCGAAACTGACATCTTTATCAAACTGTGGACAACTTGAGCCACCTCATTGTCATCTGCCCTTAAACCACAAAGAACGCCCAGCCGAAGGGACACATTTATTCTTTAAAAATCATGCTCATCATTCCTAACACACAGCGCCCTCTATTCCAAACACTCTTAACCATCTTCCTCACTATTGCAAGAATTTTCTTTGTATATCTTGCTGTACTTAGGAGAAGACGGGGTTAAGGATTGGGTTGAGGGAATTTTGTACTTTCTCTTGTACTCAAGCTGTCACATAATCTTGAGTTTAGGTTGAACTAGTCCTCACGTAAAATGCTTGTAATTAAAACCCAGTCAATATAACTCCATTTAGTTGGCAAACATTATCACATTGGTATAAATTTGCTCATGACATCCAGTAATCCTGATGAAATTGTACAACAGTTGGCATGACTGCCTTGTTTTTCAATTGCTGCATTTCTTTTTATGAAGAAAGATAGCACTGTATCTTGATTGCACTTGAGAAAAACAGGACAAGTCAATTTTTGCAGGATGGCTATTATTTTGATATGGTTATTTGTTTATTTGATGTGATAATTCCCATCTTAATTAGGCTAGAAGAGAAGCTGAATAGTTTAGAGTCAGAGAATAAAGTTCTTCGTCAACAATCTGTGTCGATGGTACCAAATAAATTCCTTTCTGGACGCTCTAGATCAATCATCCAGGTATTTCCAAGACTACCTTCTTTGTCATAGCAGGAATATAGAACATTGGTGTCTTACAAATGTTTCTGGGTTTTCAAATGGCAGAGGAGTGAGAGTGGTCATGTTTTTGGGGATACTAAGATGCACGTGGTAATAAACTCTCCTTAAGTTATTGCTTATTTTGCCAAAGGATGCCTTTTTAACCCTCAACTTGGTTTTCCATGTGCCTCAATTTCATTAGGATTTGCATAGCCATTCATTTTCTGAAGTGGATGACAAGCCACAGAAATCACTTAATGAGAAACAACAGGAGAATCAGGAGTTGCTCATTCGTTGTATTGGACAGCACTTGGGCTTTGCAGGAAACAGGCCAATAGCAGCCTGTATCATTTTCAAGTGCCTTTTGCAATGGAGGTCTTTTGAAGTCGAGAGAACTAGCATCTTTGACCGGATAATCCAGACTATAGGTCATGCTATTGAGGTTTGAAATATTGAACCCAATGGTTATACTTTCTTGTGTTTTTCTCATTTTATTTAATCCTAAAAGTTTTAAAACTTTGCCATTCACAGAAGAACCAGGATAACAATGACGTATTGGCTTATTGGTTGTCAAATGCTTCAACCCTATTACTGCCACTCCAACGTACAATGAAAGCAAGTGGTCCCACTGAAATGGCTCCTCTACGTCGCCGATCATCGTCAGCTGCTCTATTTGGCAGGATGTCACAGGTAAAAGTTTTTTCTCTTCCTCTTGAATTGCTGGCAAAAGTTGATGGTTCATTTGAAAGTATTCTCTATCAAGAAAGATTAATAATTCATCTATTTCAGACACTCACTATTCTTTATTTTTAGAGCTTCCGAGGAAGCCCTAATGGAGTAAATATCTCCTTTGTGAATGGTTTGCCTGGTGGAGTGGAGACCTTACGCCAAGTAGAAGCCAAATACCCTGCTTTGCTTTTCAAGCAGCAACTCACTGCATACGTGGAGAAAATTTATGGAATGATTCGGGATAATTTGAAGAAGGAGATTTCACCGTTGCTTGGATTATGTATTCAGGTATTCAAATTAGTTGTGTAGACTCATCAGGTTTCATTCTTTTCTAAAGATTCAAATATATTCTGTTTTCTGATCATCTGCATTACTTTGTCTGGATCTTTAAATAGGCACCTAGAACTTCCAGAGCGAGTTTAGTTAAGGGATCATCGCGATCTATTGCGAACACAGCAGCCCAGCAAGCTTTGATTGCTCACTGGCAGGGAATTGTGAAGAGTCTTGGGAATTTCTTGAACACTTTAAAAGCCAATCATGTCTGTAAATTCTCTGTTGCTTACATTTTTTTTTTTAAATATAATCCAACCGTGTCCCAGCTAAAGCTGAAATGGTTTGCTTGTAGACATCGTTAGATGATTATTTCCAAGCTCAAACCTGGCTTTGCAAAATTATTTAGTGAAAAACAGTGAAAAAATTATCTGACTTTAATGTGTGTTTGAGGTGGATCAGCTCTTTTCTATGATGCACCGACAATGCATCAACACTCGATTTTTCAAAAAATTACCGACATGACACCTCGCTGATTCGTTGATTAAATTCTTTATAATTCTTCATTTATATAGTATAAATTTAGTTTTATATTTGTTATTAATTTTTCTTGTTAAAATCTTTTAAATATGAGTATATTTGTTATTTAATAATAATTTTGAATTAAAAATATATAACATTTCTAATAAAAAAATGAAAATGATCGTGGTGGAGTGTCCGAGAAGTGTCGATATTCTACACGTGTTAGACTTGAACACGAACACGCAACCTCAGTTTAAGGGTTCGTGTAACGGAGGCTCTTTTCATCTACTGGTTTGGAAACCTAACATTGTTTGGAGTGGAGATTCTATAATGATGAATCTTACATTTTTTGCTTCTGTATTTTTATCAGGTACCTCCATTTTTAGTCCGTAAGGTGTTCACACAGATATTTTCTTTCATCAATGTTCAACTGTTTAACAGGTGGAGTTTATCTGTGCCTTCTATTTCACGTCGCTTACTTTTATACTGCATGTAAAAACTGTTTCCTTATATTCGAGTGTAAACTGTTTGTTGGCTGCAGCCTTCTTTTAAGACGAGAATGCTGTTCATTTAGTAATGGTGAATATGTTAAGGCCGGACTGGCTGAACTGGAGAATTGGTGTTACAATGCAACTGATGTGGTACACGCAGTTTTATACTATTTAATCTTGGGATTTGACAAATTCTATTAAATGAAAATAACTCAAAACATTCCAGTATGCAGGTTTAGCTTGGGACGAGCTGAAGCATATTAGACAGGCCATTGGATTTTTGGTATACAATTTTCCACTTATTTTATCTTTGCTCGATTATCTTACTCACTTTAGTTGTTATACTTCTTTTTAAACGAAAATAATTTAATGACACAATTAGCTTAACAAAGAAATTGCTTCAATTCAGGTTGTCCACCTAAAGCCAAAGAAAACACTGGATGAAATAAGTCATGACCTTTGCCCAGTAAGTCAATATCTTCATTCAAAAACACATGTACAGATATATTTACGTCAAATCTTGCCTTATATGTGTTGTCCTTTCTCTTTATTATAGGTGCTGAGCATTCAGCAATTGTATCGGATTAGTACAATGTATTGGGATGACAAATACGGCACGCATAGTGTGTCTTCAGATGTAAGTTTCTATGGATGCCATTACTCAAACTAGGTTAGGGTCAATTTCTTCTAAAGAAGAGTAATGTCATTGTACAATACGTATATCTGTGGGGAAATTAATGACATTCACGATTTTTTGCTACCATACACAGGTTATATCCAAAATGAGGGTGTTAATGACTGAAGATTCAAATAATGCAGTCAGCAATTCTTTTCTGTTGGATGATGATTCCAGGTTAGCATTGTCAAGTTCCTATTGGACAATTTTTTTGCCATATTCTCTCTGTAATTCTTGCTTCCAATTTCACTTTAAATTACGTTAGAACTTGAGAATTAGTCGGGAACGTAAGGCGAGCAACGAAATTTTGCTTTCAATATAGTCATGGATTAATTTTTGCAGCCACTTCCATAGGTGTTTAGTATTATCTGGGATTCAAGAGTTCTTCCATTCCAGGTTTTTGCAAGCTTAGCCAAAAGGGCTGGGAAGGATAGGAAGGGGAATTCTTGACTATGTTAATTAGTAGATTTTCCATATTTCTGCAATTCTTGCTATCGTTTTTATTTTCTTATGTCGTTTTTCAACCAAGTTTTGATCTCTCTTGATGATCGTTTGCAGCATACCGTTTTCAGTTGATGACATTTCCAAGTCCATGGAACCAATTGACATCTCTGATATTGAACCTCCAGCACTGATCCGTAAGAACTCGGGATTTAGCTTTCTGCTGCCTCAATCTAACTAAACCTAACACAGTTCCATTTTGGCCACCCTCACTTCTGAAAAAACATAGGTTATTAGGTTTACATTCTGATCTTATCCTTTTGTAATTGTAGTCAGTTGTTCAAATTTTCTCCCTTTTTTGATCCATATTTTTGTTTTCATAAGCTAAAATCGTACTTTCTTCATTAAGTAGATGCTATGGCACCTCAAACTCCAGCCAAACATACCTGAGAAGAAAAAGAACTGAACTGATATTTTAATGTTATCGATATATGGCAATGGTGTGTAATGTTAGCTGTTTTGAAATGTATATAAATATAATGGAAAACTTGGGAGTGTTTATTCTTCTTTCCATTAAGAAGAATTTCATTGCTCTTAAATTGGATGATGTGGCACCCTGTTTGGTATAACTACAAAAGTGAATTAAAATTAAAGCTTACTTAAATTTTAATCACATATTTGATTTTTTATGGTATTCACAACTTTTCAATTCATTTTTTTATATTTATTTAACGAGTGCCTAAAAAAAGTAGTTGTCAAATATCAAAATTACCCTTGAAGATCAGATTTTATGTCATTTGTGATAAGAAATATCAAAATGGTATCGAGTTATTAAAAAATAATGACAGATTCAAAAGAAACGGCATAGACTCATAGTCCTCAGCTATTAGCCCCGTGACTTATAATTTTTTTTTTACAAGAATCATCCTTCATGACAGAACAATCAATTTGATCATTAAAAAGTCAATTTTTATCATAGAGAACGTTGTGTGTAATGTAAACTTTTTTAGGATCCCTTTTAGGACTTGTGGAGAGTACATTCCCCTAAAAGATGGTGGGAAATGCAATTGCTTCCACGGGTGACATTTTTACTGCGGACAGTTGTGAGAGGGTAGGTGTTTACGGTGGATAATATTTGAAGAAAATGTTTCTATGTAATCGAGTGGTGCTCTATATGTAAGAAGGATAGGGAGACGATTAACCACTTGTTCATTTATTGTGATGATGTTCGTTGGTTGTGGAAAAGTATTCTATCGTGACAATTAATCAAACCTTTCGTTTATTAGCAAACTTGACCCAAACTTTTCGTTTATGCCATCGGAGGTATCAAACTTTCAAAAAATTCGCACCCCGAGTCCAAATTGACAGCATTATGCGAATATAGCTTAATAAAATTTTAGTTTTTGTCAAAAAAGAAAAAAGGGAGAGCCAATTCTTTTACCATTCTAATGTGAAATATTAAATTACATGAACAATACAAAGAGGGTTGGAGTTATTGTAAAATGATGGAAAATTATTGATAGCTATTTAATCCGATTAAAACATTTAGAAAATAGTCGTACTTACTCTAGAAATCTATATATTGTTTAATTTGTAACTTTCATTGGAATTGTCTGTCAATATAATGAAATACGCACTTTTATCTTCTACTCTTTCATAATCTCAGTTTCTTTTTTGTAACACGTAGTTTTGGCAATTTGCTTGCATTGCTTTTCACAGATTGTAGGTCAATGTCTACCATCAAATTCTATGACAATTAGTCATTATCAACCACTAATCCAGATTAGATTTTTTTTTTTATCCCTCTCTCTCTAGTATCTTTATTTGTTTCTTTCACTGCGTATACATTCTATCCGCCCAAAATGGAGGAGGGTCTCTTGTGCGCAGAAGTGTACAGTCAATGGGGGGAACCTGTGATCCAGTTGAGGCATAACCCGCGATTTACCCCCTCCAAGGTTCTAGAGGCATGGGTCTTGGAGGTCCAGGATTTAGTCTGGTGTAAGTTGGGATACCTGGATATCAAAAAAAAAAAAAAAAAATGGGAGTCCTTTGCCTTTTATACAAGGCCAGGACGAACCCCAACCATCAAATCGAAGCCCCTCATTACCTTGATTTGCGTTCCAGACCGAAAAAAAAAAAAAAAAAAAAAATGGGAGTCCTTTGCCTTTTATACAAGGCCAGGACGAACCCCAACCATCAAATCGAAGCCCCTCATTACCTTGATTTGCCAGTTCCAGACCGTTCACGTGTCTTATCGTGTTGGACCAGATTTACGTGTGCGTGGATGAATTCGATATCTGTTGACAACATTAATTGGGGTCAACACAACTTGTGCATTTTGTCCATTAATTTATAGTCATAAGTTACCTTTGATAATTATAATCATTTGAATGCCTTGTATACCATCATTAACTTATTGCATCCAATTTATATATAATTCGACCGACTGATTATTATTATCGTTATTATTTTGAATCACATTCATCCATTTTCAGATGAGAGTCGAACACATTTCGCTGATAAATAACATTTATTTTAACGATAAATATAATTCATTTAATTTTATGCAAAAATAGGTTGGCTATGATTTAACTATTGTATATGAAACTTTTCAATGTACACACCTAATTATTTGTGCAATATTAGTTCTTAATGTTTTCATATCATGGTTTTTTTATGTGTACCAATAATTTATTGGTTGTTGAACAAGAATTTTTGTTACATTTTTTATTATACAAATTCTATATTTCTATTAATATTTCATAAGTATATTATGTTGTAGTTTTGAAAGGAAAAAAGAACATTGGCTATGGGTGTTAAATGGGCCCACGAACTCTCCCTTGACAAGGCAGTCGGTTGCAGTTCTTAAATCTTTTAACTGAAGAATGCACTTACACTCCCCTTATGAGGAGACGGCCAACACGTGAACCAAAAGTTCAAGAGCCAACTCATGTGAGTTTGCGATGTTGGGAATCTATTTAAACATGCACAGCGGAAATAAAACAATTTTCGATTCTCATCAGAATTCATCTTCGCGTTTAGATAGAAATTGTGATAAAAGTTATACCTTTTTCGAGATCTGCAAACTCCTTTACTTTTCTTTTTCTAGCAACCTTGATCTGCTACTCACAGTTGTCCAATTGGTCAGTCTCAAACGGTGATCCACACAAAGAACAAGATTGTAGGATTATGATTTTCTTCTTATGCTAGCAAGAATAATGAATTCTCTACAGTTTTTGAAAATTCTAATCATATTTATAAAAGCTCGAACGGGCTTGGACTGACCCGGTCCAATATTTAATTAACTCATTTAATTAAATCCGATCCGTGAATTAATTAATCAAATTAATCAATTCAGACCTATAAATAAGCAACCCAATTAATTTATCTAACACTTGTTAAATTAATTAATTGACAAATCACAATCTTTCAGTTCTGCTTTTGTGTGCGACCCATCAAGTTCTCGATCACGATGTGTAACGACATGAAATATTATTTTGATTTAATCAAAATTAATAAATTAAAATATCATTTTAATTTATTACTAATTCACACTCTTCGTCCCAAATTAATATCTAACAATGTGTCATGGCAATACATGTGACAGAAAATATCACGTGGTATGACAAAACTAAACTCGTTCATTTATTGTGAAACTATAATCTATTCGTTAATATGATCCGATCAATTACGAGATGGAAGTGTGTCAATCTCAATTATTGATCATATCATTCACTCCACTATTAAGTCAATATAAGTCGAAAACTCATTTTCGACTTATGAGTACACCTTGGATAAGGATTTTGTTATCGATTTAATTGAATGAAATGCAGATTATAATTTCTTACTATCTAAAAGTGACGAATTCTCTATTGGTCATTCACAACCTTTATACGATTCTTGACATACTCAAACGATACCTTATTAGCGACTCTTGGTAGAGCAACATCCAACACCGTCAAAGCATGACTGTCCTCATATAAGGTAATATGACGACCTCAAGTCAAATAACCAATCTCACTACCAAACGTTAGAGATTAACCACTGATACTCAGATAGTTATCTATGTGGAATCTCTAGGCGGGTCTCCAATATTTGTTCTATAACAAAACATCCACGTGTTTATTGAAGTGTCGCATACTTCAACTTGTGAAATCAGCTACTTACTTCACAAGTAAGAAATGCCATACATGATGGTTTATCCGTATCTTGTTATCACTTATGATCACGGACGATTTAAGATTTAATTATATGTAATTTGTATCTTACAATCACAACTCCTCGTGATAAATAAATTACAAAAATTTGAATCTACAAACTCTATTATTTAATTTAATTGTTTATTGATTAAATAATAGATCTACCATTAAATCGCATTAATTGTATATTAAAAATATTTATATCCAAGGTTGATTGGACCTGAGCATAACACTTACATTCAAGTGACTTGTTCAACTTAATACCCTTAGCTAGGCATATAGATAGAGAATATTTTGTTGTTAACTCCTAACGTACAAATATAAAATGTTAATATTTTAGTAGAATATAATAGTTTCCTACTATTATATTAAAAATTGTGCTATTGATCTTGAAAAGTATTTTACAATTTCAAAATAATGATATGTTTTTGCAAGAAGCGCAATGTTATATTAATATTTTCCCAATATATTATATGTCTTTGAAGAGCATGAAATTACAAATTTAAATACTATAGAAGAATATCGACCAATTTCTCTCAAAGAAGCACTCGTTCAAATCTGTCGATATTTTTTCAAATCTGTATGCAAATTTTACGAACATATGCTTACAACCGAAGGAAAGCATATAATTCATGTCTTGTTGGAATTGATATATCAATTACTTTGACTTTATAGTTGATAACTTGATATGATTATATATTCTTTAATCATAGTGAGTACAACAAATTTAATATGTATATGTATATATGTACAGACACATATATATCTACATGTATATATACATGTATAAACATATGTACACGTATATATGTATATATGTGTATATATATATATATATATATATATACACATATATACATATATACGTGTACATATGTTTATACATGTATATATATATATATATAGTCAAATTAAATTAATTGTAAAATATAAATTGACAAATTTATATATTTACAGTTACTTCTCTTTGCTTTAGTAATTCATATTGTAAGAATGATATCTCATAAAAATACTAATAGTGCTAAATCGAAAAATTTTGATGAAAAAAATTTTAAGAGATAAAACAAATGGAATATTGGTTGATCGTTCTAAGGTTAATTTTTGCTCTAAAAGAAGATAGTGAAGGTAGAGAATCTACCTCATGGTATAACCAACAAATTGAATTGTATTATCATAATCAAATTTTAATTGCTCTTAATATAGACTTTAAGATATTTATCAAAATATCACAAGTGCTAAAGAGTTTTGAAAAACTTTAGAGGAAGAATATGGAATTGATGATGCTGGAGTCGATAGATTCAACGAGTTAACATTTAACAA